AGTATGGAGGTTTCTCAAAAACTAAAAATAGAACTACCAAATGATCCAGCAATCTCACTGCTGGATATATATCCAAAGGTAAGGGAATCAGTATATCGAAGAGACATTTGCACTCCCATTTTTTTTTTTTTTTTTTTGAGACAGAGTCTCACTTTGTTGTCCAGGCTAGAGTGAGTGCCGTGGCGTCAGCCTAGCTCACAGCAACCTCAAACTCCTGGGCTTCAGCGATCCTTCTGCCTCAGCCTCCCGAGTAGCTGGGACTACAGGCATGAGCCACCATGCCCGGCTAATTTTTTATATATATCAGTTGGCCAATTAATTTCTTTCTATTTATAGTAGAGACGGGGTCTCGCTCTTGCTCAGGCTGGTTTTGAACTCCTGACCTTGAGCAATCCGCCCGCCTCGGCCTCCCAAGAGCTAGGATTACAGGCGTGAGCCACCTCGCCCGGCCTGCACTCCCATTTTTATTGAAGCATTATTCACAATAGCCAAGATATGGAATCAACCTTAGTATCCATCAGTGGATACCAAATGGACAAAGAAAATGTGGTATATATATGTGATGGAATACTATTCAGCCATAAAAAAGGATAAAATCCTGTCATTTGCAGCAATATGTATGAAAATAGAGATCATTGTGTTAAGTGAAATAAGCCAGGCACATAAAGACAAATTATTGTATAATATGTTTTCACTTGTATGTGGGATCTAAAAAAAGTGGATCTCATAGAGGCCGAGAATAGAATGGTAGTTACCAGAGGTGGAGAAGGGAAAGGGATAGGACAAAGACAAGTTGGTTAAGGGGCACAAAAATACACTTAGATAGAAGGAATAAGTTCTAGTATTCAATAGTGCAATAGGCAAATTAAAGTTAGTAACAATTTATTGTATATTTTAAGTAGCTAGAAGGGAAGATTTGTAATGTTCCCCAACACAAAGAAAAGAAAAATATTTAAGGTGATGGATATCCTAATTACCCTGATCTAATCATTACACATTATATACATTTATCAAAATATCACATATACCACCAAAATATGTACACCTATGATATATTGATAAAAAAATGAAAAGAAAAAAACCAAAATTTCACATGGATTTTTTTTGAAGACCTCCATAAATATCTCTACAACTTATTTAGAGGAATAAAATTTCATAAATTACTAAGTCAATCTTAAAAAGAAACAAAAGCATAAAGAGAAAGTATCAGCTGGGGTTAAAACTTAGAAACAGAACCAGTGAGAGATATACATGAAAGAGTTATTGCAAGAAATTGGCTCACACAATTGTGGGGGTTGCCCCAGCAAGTCTGAAATCCGTAGTGACACTCTCAGGAAGGGCAGGCTGAAGCTCTCTGGCATGGGCTGAAACTGTGGTCCACAGGCTAATTTCTTTCTTTTTTTTTTTTTTTTTCCAGTAAGGACCTCAAGAGAAAGGGCTAGTTTCTTCTTCAGGGAAAACCCAGCTATGCTTTCTAGGCCTTTAAACTGATTGAATCAGGCACACCCAGTTTATCTAGGGATAATTTCCCTTATTAAAGTCAACAGATTAATGGACTTTAATCACATCTATAAAATACTCTCACAGCAACACCCAGATTAGTTTTGATTGAATAGCTAGCCAAGTTCATACATCAAAAAGATCATCACAAAGGGGACTTGTTCTATCAGTTTTAAAGACATACAATAAAACCTTAGTAATAAAATATTTTTTTAAAAAAAGCAATATTGTTCCAAATACAGTCAGACTCAAGGAACAGAATAGATAGCTTAGAGATAAACCTGAATATACATGGAAATTTAATATGCAATAAAAGTAGCACCACAAAGGAGCCAAAGACAAGTTGTTTAATACCCAATGTTGGGAAAACTGATGAGATATATATGGAGAAAAATAAAATGATCCATATCTCACACCACACACAAAAGTGGACTCTAGATGAAATTTAACCTAAATGTGATAGATGAAAACTGTAAATAGAAGAAAGCATAGAATATCTTTATAACTTATGAACAAGGAAAGACCTCATAAACAAAATTTCTCAGTAGACTGCTAGCCAGAGAGAGTATCAAATACAATAACTATACCAGCAAAGTCTGCATAACACACTAAGAGGCAAGTCATGTGGTCTGAATCAGAGGCCCCGATTTTCGTGGTCCTGGCAAGAAGTTGTAGACAAGTGCCACAAGGAGAAAACAAGTGAGAGACACCTCCCTAGGGACTTCCTGGACTGATCGGGAGGGATGGGGATGACAGGGAATGGGAGGAAGGGTTTTGGCTGGTTGAGCATAAAAAACTGTTTTGTAACTAGTCATGTGACTTCTCACCTTGGTCTGAGAATACTTGTGTTATATTTGTTTAAAACTCAGTCCAGGCCGGGCGTGGTGGCTCACGCCTGTAATCCTAGCACTCTGGGAAGTCAAGGCGGATGGATTGTTTGAGCTCAGGAGTTCGAGACCAGCCTGAGTAAGAGCAAGACCCTGTCTCTACTAAAAATAGAAAGAAATTAATTGGCTGACTAAAAAATATAGAAAAAATTAGCCGGGCATGGTGGCACATGCCTGTAGTCCCAGCTACTCAGGAGGCTGAGGCAGGAGGATCGCTGGAGCCCAGGAGTTTGAGGTTGCTGTGAGCTAGGCTGATGCCATGGCACTCACTCTAGCCTGGGCAACAAAGTGAGACTCTGTCTCAAAAAAATAATAATAATTATGATGGCAATAGTGTAGTGAACATTCATGGATTGCTACTATGAGTGTAAATTAATACAACTTTTCTGGAAAATAAGTTGACAATATGTTTCAGAAGTCCTAAAATGATCATACTTGTTGACAAAGTATTTCTCCTCCTAGGAATCTATCTTAAGCAAAAAAGTTAAAAACTCAGATGTAAATTTATATACAAAAGATCCATTGAATTTTATTATTTAAAATGTTGAAAAATTAGAAAAAACAAAGAAAATGATTAAATAAATTATATACAGCCATATGGTAGAATATTATACAGCCAATATTATACATGTAAGATATAACATCACTTTCATAATAAGGAAAAAAAGCCAATTAAAATGTTCCACTGCCAAAAACATTTCAGTACACAGTGCATAATTTGTTGCTTAACTCTTACTTGTTAAATAAAATTCATGGATGAAAGCAAATACAATTTATAACTTCCAGATATATAATAAGATTTTAATAAATATCCAATTTTTAATTTGTATATCCAACTGCCTACTTGACAAGCTCCACTGTGATGTTTCATGTCTCTTTCCCCCCCAAAAAACTACTTTCTCAAGCTTCCCCATCTCAGTCTGGGGCACCACAGCCCCTCTTGGGTCCTTCTTGACATTTCTGTTCCCTTACCCTCCTGCAATTCCACTCAATTCTGTCTCTAAAATAGATCTAAATCTGCCCATTTCTCTCCATCTCCTTTGCCATTAGTACTATATTGCAGGCCAGGTGCAGTGGCACACGGGGGCTCTTAGCACTCCGGGAGGCCAAGGTGGGCGGATCACTCAAGGTCAGGAGTTCGAAATCAGCCTGAGCAAGAGTGAGACCCCCGTCTCTATGAAAAGTAGAAAAAAATTAATTGGCCAACTAAAAATATATAGACACCAACGCTCTGTTTCTGGTGAAATAAAAATAATAATAAATAAATAAAAATATATAGAAAAAATTAGCTGAGCATGGTGGCGCATGCCTGTAGTCCCAGCTACTCGGGAGGCTGAGGCAGAAGGATCACTTGAGCCCAGGAGTTGGAGGTTGCTGTGAGCTAGGCTGATGCCAAGGCACTCTACCCAAGCAACAAAGTAAGACTCTGTCTCAAAAAAAGAAAAGAAAAGAAAGAGTACTATATTGCAATGATTTCTCTCCCAGACTAATATAATAGCTTCCTAACCGGTCTCTTAGTTTTTGCCTGCTTCCAACCCATTCTTCATCCAATGGGGAGTGTAATTTTACAAAAACCAAGTCAAGTCACTCCTCTGATTAAAAGATTTCAATAGCTCCCCACAGCATTTAAATAACATTTTTAACATCCTTTTTATGGGTTAGACATTGTTCTAAGTACTTCATTGTTTACTAACTCTTTGAATCCTGACAACAAGCCTATGAAGTAGGTATTATTATCATTCTAATTTTACAGATGAGGCAACAGAGGTTAAACTTGCACAGGACCTCTCAGCCACTGGGGAACCAGGAAACCACCCCAGGAAGTCCAGACTCTGCTCTCCGCAACACAAACCTCCTCTAGTATTTAGATATGCCCCCTGGGATGCCATGGGCCAATCTCTCTGTTTCTGAAACCTGTTAAATGGTCTCAATTCAGTGCCTTTGTGACTTGACTTTGTGACTGTTGATCCTCTCACAGGAACACTGGGGTTTTTGGGGGTTTTTTGTTTGTTTGTTTGTTTGTTTGTTTTTGAGACAGAGTCTCCCTCTGTCACCTCTGCTGAAGTGCAGTGGCATCATCATAGCTCACTGTAACTTCAAACTCCTGGGCTCAAGCGATCCTCCTGCCTCAGCCTCCAGAGTAGCTGGGACTACAGGCATGTGCCACCATGCCCGGCTAATTTTTTCTATTTTTCATAGAGATAGGGTCTAACCCTTGCTCAGAATGGTCTCACTCCTGAGCTCAAGTAATTCTCCCACTTGGGCCTCCCAGAGTGCTAGGATTATAGGCGTGAGCCACCACACCTGGCCCACTATTTTATCTGCTCTTTTTGTATTTTTATTTTTATTTTTTTAGAGACAGGGTCTTGCTCTGTAACTCATGCTGGAGTGCAGTGGCATGATCACAGCTTACTGCAGCCTTGAATTCTGAAATCAAGTGATCCTCCTGGTTCAGCCTCCCAAGTAGCTAGGACTACAGGCACGTGCCACAATGCCCAGCTAATTTTTCTTTTTTTCATTATTTTTTGTAGAGAAAGGGTGTCTCTGTCTATATTGCTCAGGCTGGTCTCAAACTCCTGGGCTCAAACGACCCTCCTGCCTCAGCCTCCCAAAGTGCTAGGATTACAGGTATGAGCCACTGTGCCTAGCCTATCTTCTTTTCTTCTGGCTTCTTCTCCAGGTCTTCACAAATAGTGAACTGTAAAATAAGTCATGGCACATATTTACAATGGAATACTATGCAACTGTTTAAAAATATGAGATAAATCTATGAGTACTGACATGGAAAGATGTTTAGCATATTTTAGCTTGCCAAGTGAAAAAAGCAAGTTACAGAATAACATGTTAAAACTTAGAAATAGGCCAGGCACGGTGGCTCACGCCTGTAATCCTAGCACTCTGGAAGGCCGAGGCGGGTGGATTGCTCGAGGTCAGGAGTTCGAAACCAGCCTGAGCAAGAGCAAGACCCTGTCTCTATTATAAATAGAAAGAAATTAATTGGCCAACTTAATATATAGTATTATATATATAGAAAAAATTAGCCGGGCATGGTGGCGCATGCCTGTAGCCCAGCTACTTGGGAGGCTGAGGCAGGAGGATTGCTTGAGCCCAGGATATTGAGGTTGCTGTGAGCTAGGCTGGCACCATGGCACTCACTCTAGCCTGGGCAACAAAGTGAGACTCTGTCTCAAAAAAAAAAAAAAAAAAACTTAGAAATATGTGTAGCATGATTCCATGTGTTTGTGAAAATAAATTATTAAAATATATCTATCTATCAAAGGTTCAGAGGGTTATACACTACATTTTCTAACTAGGGTGATCTCTGAGGAGTGAGATTGGGAAAGAAAGGAAGATGGGAAAGAGAGTTTTCAATTTTTTTTTTTTTTTTTTTTGAGACAGAGTCTCACTCTGTTGCCCAGGCTAGAGTGAGTGCCATGGCATCAGCCTAGCTCACAGCAACCTCAAACTCCTGGCTCAAGCAATCCTTCTCTCAGCTCCCGGAGTGCTGGGACTACAGGCATGCGCCACCATGCCCAGCTAATTTTTTCTATATATATTTTTAGTTGGTCAATTAATTTCTTTCTATTTTTGGTAGACACGGGGTCTCGCTCAGGCTGGTTTTGAACTCCTGACCTCAAGCGATCCGCCTGCCTGGGCCTCCCAGAGTGCTAGGATTACATGCGTGAGCCATCACGCCCGGCCTTTGGTTTATTTTAGGCTGAATTTTTCGTTAGTGCATTAGTGCTGAGGACATTCTAAAGTGATTGGCTATTTCAACTCAAGTATCTACAATACACAGCCACAGTCAGCATATGAACTACATGTTTTCTTAATTTCCTTTCAGTCCTAAACTGGTTCATGAAAATCTGTCTTAATTAAATCTCTAAGTTTTGACTTTCACATTCATATTCCAAGAAGTTAGTGGGTATTCAGTCACTTTATGTACAGAGAGGTAGTGCTACTAGTTCTCTGAGGACACCCTCACACTACTTATTTAAAGGTTTCCTTGATCATCTCTATACTGGTAGTTCCAGATCTATGTATTCTACCAGCTCTCCCCCAAGCCCCAGATTGCCATAACCAGTACTCACTAGACATCTCCATTTGGGTGTCTCAGGAACACTTCAAATTCCACATGCCCCAAATGCAAATTATCATTCTGTCCTATATGCCCTCATTTTTATTCCTAGTTAATGGCACCACTGTCCCTCCAATCCAGAACCTGGAAGTTGCCCTAGCTTCTCTCTCCTTCACCTCCACATCCCAGCAGTGTTTTGAGGGACTACTCCCAGTAGCAATTCTGAATCAGTCAGTCAGTCAATTCTGAGTTCTTATCTCTCCAAGCAGGAGAGATCAATCATACAATAATTTGAACAGGGGAAACTTAATATATATAATTACTAACTATAACGGGGAATGGGGTAATAAGGGATTAACTAGTGAAAAGAAAAGAGAACTCTAAAGAATACAGGAATAGCAGATATAAGGAAGAGCCCTTACTCTATGTCTGAGAGGAAGTGTCCAAGAAGAACCTCCTTTCCCCTCAAGAGCTGAGATTCAGACCTTATTGGACAGAGCACAGCCACGGCTCATTGGAACACAGAGAAGCTGTTGTGGTGCCACATTGGCAGAGCTTGATGGGAATGTGCCCCCTGGAATTTTTCAGAAACCCTTCCTTTAGGATGCCAGGGACATTTGTTCATGGGGCAATGTCTCACCTACAAAACCGCCTAATGTGTTTCTAGGAGAAGCTGCCTGCTGCTGGGTGCTACATATTGCAGGCGCCTGGCACTGGAGAAGCTGTAAATGCTCTGCTACAAAACCTGGCTGGGAGTGGGGATGGATGCTTTCTCTGGAGGAAGCTGCTGCTACTAGGTGCTGCTGGCTGCCAGGCACTGCAGGAGCCAGGAAACTGGAGAGGCTGTCAGCATCCTGCAGAAGTTCAGTGCTGGAGAAGAGCTAAGAAGAGCTAACCGCAGGAGATGGTCGCTGGGAAGCCTCATGTGCTGCAGGAGCCTGTGGAACACACAATAGAACCAGGAAGTAAAGCCCTTTCCTCCTGGAATGGCTGTCCAATACCCTATACTGACAAAGCTTATGTGCTATCTGGCAAAGAAAAATTTTGAAAGGGCCCAGACACGTTTTCACTGAGCAAGCAAAAAGTATGAATTTGAAGCAACTACACAGCAATTCATGTCCATTCCATCCTCTCTAACCCCATTGCCATTGTTTTAGTTCAGATTCACTCACTTGCTGTCTCTTTTTATTCCTTGTCTGGACTGTAAAGAGTCTAGGAACTGGTCTCCTGGCCTGGCTGCCACTGGTCCAGATGATGATGCTGTGTGAATTTGAAGAAGGAGGTCCTTCCTCTGGGAGTACACAGCACATTACCTGGCTCTCAGATTACACTGACCCTTGCTAAGTTCCACCTGCACAACTCAGAGCAGAAGCCTTACTCTTACCTGCTCCCAGCTCCCAGCCTCCAATCTTCCCTGCCCATATCACTCCTCAAATCCACAGTGCCACCACTTTTTTAAAACCTAAAAATAAAAGCACAACTTACCTTTTTAACACCCCCTCAATACTTCCCTATTTTCATTAAATAAAATGTAAACTCCTTAGTAAGACATACATGGTCTTCTGTGATCTGCCCCTTGCCTTTTCTCCAGTATGTTGACTAAATGAGGGGGTGAAGAAATAAAGAAAGAATACGTTAGTGAATTCCAGGGCAGAAGTTGAAAACCAAAGAAGAAATATTAGGAGAGAGAGTCTATGACTCTGTAAGGACCCGCAATAAGTAAGTATGGGGGCAGCCTCTGTCATCGTTCTAAGCTATGGGAATAAGTCTGTTAAAGGGCACTCCCAAGTGGGTGAGTTATTTCCTCCTATATATACCTCCCCTACCAGGACTCAAAGTGTTTTTCATTTTTGTTTCATTTTTTTAAGAGACAGGGTCTCACTCTGTTGCCCAAAGCTGGAGTGCAGTGGCATGGCCATAGCTTACTGTAGCCTCTAACACCTGGGCTAAGAGATTCTCCCTCCTCAGCATTCCAAGAAGCTGGGACTGCAGGTGCACACCACCAGGCCTGGCTAATTTAAAACAATTTTTTTCAGAGATAGGGTCTCACTATGTTGCCCATGCTGGTCTTGAACTCCTAGGTTCAAGTGATCCTCCCACCTTTACCCTCCAAAGTGCTGAGATTACAGACACAAGCCTGCACCTGGCCTGGATTCAAAGTTATCGGGTGTCGGGCGGGTGGGAGGGGGGGCATGGGCAATATATGTAACCTTAATATTTGTACTCCCATAATATGCTGAAATAAAAAAATAATTTAAAAAATTATGTAATTACTATTGTATAATTATACTTGCAAATGATATGAATGTGAAGGGGTGCTATAAGAGTGTGTAAACAAGAGATCTAATCAAGAAATAGAATAAGGCCTGAGATCTAAGTAGGATCCATACCAGGTTTAGGTATGTATTAGGAAGAAGGGCATTCCCAGGAAGAAGGAAGAGCTCATTCAAAAGCCCAAGGTTGAAGATACATCAAATGTAAGAAACTGTTTGCCTACAGAATAATGAACAAGGGAAAGAGTAGCAGGTAAGAAACACAGTTTGCAGAGAAGTGCGCATCATATTAAGTTTTTTAGACTTTGCTTTAAAAGTTATGGGAAGCCATTAATAGTTTCAGAGTATGTAGTATCGTAACCTGACTTATGTTTTTCTCTCCCAACACTTTTTTATAAACATTTCCAAACACAGTGGAAAGAAATGTAAAATGAACACTCATGTTGGAGAAGCACTTAGATTTCACAATTAACATTATGCTCCTGACTTAATTTTTAATTAGATCACAATGACAATTATCCAACTGTTAAAAAGGAGGAAATAAATTTAATCTGTTCTTCTCAGGAAAAATACAAGAAAGTGTAGAACTGGTACAGCCTAGACAATGTAATGATTAAAAATAAGTAAATACATAGAAGTACAAGGGATCATTGCAAAATTTCAAACACAATTATCAGAAGAAAGGTTACTGTACTTGTTTTCTCAGGTTCACCCACCTGTGTGAACTATAACTCTAGCTCCAAGGTAATGGTTTCAATCTTTTATAACCCTATTTCCTCCTATTAGAACTTGAAATAATGTACTTAAAATTGTAAAAACTCTAATTTAGTTTCTTAGATACTTTGAAATTCTACAGATTAATGAATCCAAGAGGCCCTAATAAATGGTGGCAGTGGAGATGAAGAGGAAAAGATAAATTTAAAAAATATATAGGAAGTAAAATTGATGACATGTTTTAACTAATTAAATAAGGAGAGGAATGTAGAAGAATGTTTCCAGAATAGACATTTGAAGGGCACATTAGGGGTAGATTTAAAATGATTATTTTAATTTGGGACAAGTTAATTTTTAGAAGCCTCTGAAATATCCAGGTAAATATTCTAGTAGACAACTGGAATTTAAGCCTAGAACTGAAGAGGGTGTTCAAAACTATAAATATAGATATAAATAAAAGACATAAGCATATAGGTCCCTTATTGAAACCATGAGAGTAGGTCTGTTCTAAAGAATGTCTAAACACGGAGGAGAGTTGTCATATTGAATCACCACCAAATCTCTGGGTCTCAGCCACCTTAAATACCAGCGTTATTACAGATGGCCATTTTACACCCAGCAAGAATCAAATTGCCAGCTCTTATAACTCAATAATAAAAAAGATAAATAACCCAATTAAAAATGAGCAAGCATCAGAATAGACTTTTTCCAAAGAAGATCTACAAATCACCAATAAACACATGAAAAGATTATCATTATTGGTAGGGAAATGCAAATCAAAACCACAGTGAGATGCCACCTTACACCCACTACTAGAGTAGCTATAATTAAAAACAAAACTTGACATAACAAGTATTGGTAGGGATGTAGAGAAACTGGAAGCCTCATACACTATTAGTGGCAGTGTAAAATGTAAAATGAATGCAGCTGCTGTGGAAAATAGTTTGGCAGTTCCTCAAAAAGTTAACTAGGGTCTGGGAAAGGGGTGACAGTGCCATGTCCAGCTGCAAAGGTGGCAAGAAAAAGCCTCTAAAACAGCCCAAGAAGCAAGCTAAGGAGATGGACAAGGAAGATAAAGAGTTCAAACAGAAACAAAAAGAGGAGAAGAAACTTGAGGAGTTAAAAGGAGGCATCAGGGAAGAGCACCCTGGCCACAGGTGGAATTAAGAAATCTGGCAGGCCGGGCGTGGTGGCTCACGCCTGTAATCCTAGCACTTTGGGAGGCCGAGGTGGGCGGATTGCTCAAGGTCAGGAGTTCGAAACCAACCTGAGAGAGACCCCCGTCTCTACCAAAAATAGAAATAAATTAATTGACCAACTAAAAATATATATACAAAAAATTAGCCGGGCATGGTGGTGCATGCCTGTAGTCCCAGCTACTCGGGAGGCTGAGGCAGGAGGATCGCTGAGCCCCGGAGATTGAGGTTGCTGTGAGCCAGGCTAACGCCATGGCACTCACTCTAGCCTGGGCAACAAAGTGAGACTCTGTCTCAAAAAAAAAAAAAAGAAAAAAAAAAGAAATCTGGCAAAAAGTAAGTTGTTCCTTGTGCCTGAGGAGATGGTGACCCTTGATTCCTATTTAAACATCTGTATTCACTGCCATAACGTCTTCTGCCACCTATAGCTAAAATGAAGTGTTGTCATGAAGCCTATTGTACATTTAAGAATAACCTTTTGTAAAAAAAAAATACAGTGGCTCATTATCTCTTTAGCTGTTTTCACTCAGCCATTCCTACTTTAACTGTGAATTAAAGTAAAAGCAGCCCAGATTCCTGCCAGAATCTGCTCTTTGGTCTTTGTTCTACCCTAAATTCTGTATCTCCTGGAATTAAGCCAACTCATTTGGAAAAAAAACAAAAACAGTTAACTATAGAGTAACCATACACCTCAGCAATTCCATTCCTAGGTATGTATATACCCAAGAGAATTTAAAACATATGTTCATACAAAAACTTATACATGAATGTTTATAGCAGCATTATTCATAATAGCTAAAAAATGGAAACTATCCAAATGTCTATCAAATGGTGAATGGATAAATAAAATGTGATATATCCGTAAAATGGAATATAATTTGACAGTAAAAAGGAAAGAGATACTAGTACATTCTATAACATGGATGAATCTTTTTTTTTTTTTTTTGAGACAGAGTCTCACTCTGTTGCCCAGGCTAGAGTGAGTGCCATGGCATCAGCCTAGCTCACAGCAACCTCAAACTCCTGGGCTCAAGCGATCCCACTGCCTCAGCCTCCCGAGTAGCTGGGACTACAGGCATGCACCACCATGCCCGGCTAATTTTTTCTATATATTTTTAGTTGGGCAATTAATTTCTTTCTATTTTTAGTAGAGACGGGGTCTCGCTCTTGCTCAGGCTGGTTTCAAACTCCTGACCTGAGGCATCCACCCGTCTCGGCCTCCCAGAGTGCTAGGATTGATTGCAGGTGTGAGACACGGCATCTGGCCTAAATTTTGAAAACATACTAAGGAAGCCAGTTACAAAAGACTACACATTGCATGATTCCATTTACATGAAATGTCCAGAAGAGGCAAAGCTACAGATACAGAAAGCAGATTTGTGATTGCCTAAGACTGGGAGGCTTGTGGGAAGGGGGGAGGAGGGTGGACAGATGGAGTAAGGGGTTTTGTTGGTGTGATGAGACTGTTCTAAAATTGTGGTGATGGTCACACAATTCTGTGAACAAAAAACCATTTGAATTATTGAGGGAATTGCATGGTATGTAAGTTATATCTCAACAAAGCTATTTTTAAAAAAATCAAACAGCCCTCTACAAGTATCAAAGTACCTCATCAGCCAGGTTACCATCCTTTTTATTTTAATGGATGGGGAGACTGAAGTGCAGAGGGATCAGGTATCCAACTTCCCAGTTTGTGCTCTGAATTAACCTCCTCTCCTTGTAACACCACTGCAGTTGCAGATGCCTCCAGCACTTAAAATCATAATTTGTAATTATGTTTAACAATTCTCCCATATTAGGCCACTCATTTCTTCAGAATAGAGATAGTGTCTGATTCCTGTGTATCAGAATCTGATTTCTAAAAATGAAAATTTACTCAGGAAAAAGATCTACAACTGATGCTAAATAAATTCACAGTAACCCGGTGTACTGATATTTACCTCTCCAACCAAGGAAAGGCACAAAATGAGACACAAATAAAGCAGAGAAAGGAATAAAGGGTGGGAGAAACCTAGCATGTCCTCCCACCCCTTCCCTCCTCTAGACGGTTTCTCTGGAAAGTTCCAGAAGGGAGTCAGGCGTGGCTGGTGACATCACTGAGCCCCGTGGCGTCCCCCACACAGGCCACCCGACACCCTAACTTTCCCGCCTCGCAGAAGCCGGAAGACCAGGATGGGGCCGCGCAAGGGGCGGGGCTTACGTCACGTCCGGTTCGGGCCGCGCCACTGCTGGAGAGAGAAGGCTGAGCGAGGAGGGGCGGGGCCAAGAATGCGCGCGTTCTGGGCGGGGGAGGAGCCACCCTGAGGAGCGTCGCGTCACATCCGGTAGAGGTAGAGCCCGTGCGGAGGCGGCGCGGAGCGCTTCGATTCTGAGCGGCTCGGGAACCCGTGCGTCGTGTGAGGCTGTGGCGGAGCCTCTTTAAAGAAGGCGCAAGAGGTTGGCAGCTTCAATTGAAGCACATCGAGCGGCGACAGCAGCCAGAAGTCATGAGCGACAGCGGCGAACAGAACTACGGCGAGCGGGTACGTAGAAGTGGCGTAGGGGGCGGCTGTGTGGTCCCAGCTTCTCGTGTCTCTTTTAGGCCCATCGGCCTTGGGTCGGGAGGCAGGGACGTTTTAGGCCCCTATGTCTGAAGCCGGGAGGGAGGGGAGACAGGGTTTTGAAAGCCCTTGTGGGTAGTGTCGTTAGTCGTGAGGGAGGCCATCGGCTGGTTTGTGTGGCTTCGTACCCGAGATGGCTGTATTTTCCGTTATAACTAGGGGGGAGAAGATTAAAAATGGCCGCTGCGTCCCCTCGGTGGTGGGGGAGGGGAGCGGTATCTTATTTCGCCGTTGCTCTCCTGCGAAGGTCCGCCGCAGCCATCTTGGGCTGGCGGTCCGGGCGCGCTGCCAAAGGCACAAAATGGCGGAGGAGCCGCGCGTTAGCGCGGGCTCAACCCGCCACGGGCCGCGCCTCGCTAGGGCGCGTCGTGGGGTGGGAAAAAACGACGACGTTTTGGGGGGTTTTTGCCCAGTGTTTAGGTTAACGAAGGACCGTTTCATCAGCCCTGGAAAGGCCGGAATCTAGGGTGTCTTGGGGCCTCTTGACATGGAAACTCATATGAGGGTAGACTAAAGTTCTGGGCCTGTTAGTTGGAGGGAGTTGGCTTTGTGTTTGGCCTAAGTGGAGTGTTTCTGTTTGGTACTGGAAGTTTTACAGCTCAAAATCGTTATCGGAGTATCCTATTAGAGTAGACAACAAAGGTCGCTAAGATTGTCGTGGAGATGTTTTATTCCACGGGAACGTGGGGGAGAAATTGGCGGGCAACAATTTATGGCGCCGTTATTTCTTTTGTTTTGAGAACTACAAACTGTGTTGGTACTTTTTTGTAATTTTCCACCTCTTAAAGGTGGAGTGCGGGGAGGGTTGATTATATTTAGAGAGTAAGATAGTTTCTAGGCTTATAAAATAGCACAGCTTGCCTCTGGGGCCCTGGGTATTAGGTTTGGAAAGCATCGGATGAAGACGCAGAAATAGAAGGCTTGCTAGAACCTAGAACCTTATATATTGGCGGCGAAGGGGAATTTGTTAGGAGAAGGGTAATAAAATCTATTTCTGAGGCTGTTACAGAAATAAGGTTTAGTGTTTTGCAATTTAAGTTCCCGCTGTGCTGATAGAACCGTCTTAAGATCTGAATACTCTTTGTCTAGTAAATTAGGCTGTCAAACTTGAATAAAAAATATTTTAGGTGATTTATTAGGAAGGGTATTTTTAGAAAGAAACTTCCTCTGGGCTCCTTCACCACCTTAGTGAGCTTACTGTATAATTTTGAAACCCAAACTGATTTGAACCAATCAAGCCTTACGTTTACATATTCAGGTGAATATTAGGGTTCTGATTTTGACGTTTTTCCATAGGTTGATAGACTCCAATGTCGCCTGTGTGCGCGATTATTTTTTAAGGTCTTGTTTTCTAAGGACGAAGTTTGGCTTGATCTCACAAGTCGAAGTTGTGACTTTTGGTTTCTGCCGGTTGAATAGACTGTTGAAACTACCCGTTGGTGTTGGAACTGAGAAGCAAATAATTTTAAAGTCTTTAGTTATTAAACAGACCCTCTCTGTACAGGTGTATGGAATATAAAAGAAAATAAAAAAATAACCAGACCAATTATTGGGTACCTTTGCAGTCTTTAGGGAATACAAAATGGTTTCTGACAAGAGGAGCTCAGTTGAATATACATGAACAAGTTACACATGGCATCATTCGGAAAGTGGAAAATTGCCCAAAGAAGAATTAACTCTAGTATGTTTCACATGAGGAAGGAAACTAAGGAAGTGTAGGTCTCAGTTTGAGACATACAGCTCGAGGGAAATTTGAAATTTTTGAATTGTTTGTTTTCTTTAAAAAAATACACTTCAGTGTTTTTCACACTCCTTGATATTTGCTCAATTGTGAAAGAGAAAGTTAACTTAAAATTGTGTTAAAAATCGGTGTTTTTCTTACATAAGAGTCTTGGCTTTCTGGGAGAGATTTCTAAACTTCGAAGTTGATATATTTCCACATTGTTTTTTGTGTTTGCATTCCTATTGAAACCTTTAAATGATTGAAATACACCTAAAACTTTTATCAAGACTCCCAAAGAAAGCTTGGCAAAAGCATAAAGCTGAATGGAACAGTCTCTTCAAATCAGCTGGAACCTTCCACCTTTTGTTTATCTGTTTCTAATCCAGACACTTCCACACCCAGGCAGCCCCACCTCCCTAGTAACTCTAGGTGAGTTTTTTTTCTGCCTACTCCTTGACTTTAGAAGTAGTTCTTTTCCTAAACAGTAAGGTCGGGTGTGCCGAATAAATTATCTTCAGTTTGGTTGCTAATAAGAGTACGGTCTTTTATAAGAACTTCCATAGAGTTGGTAGCAATTTTAGAGGTGCTGGCTAATATGGGGGTAATTAATCTTTAAACCCTATAATGGTCACAATATGTCGGGTGTGTGAGGTTTGTATGTTGTCTGGGCTTGCACTCAGTTTAATGTTCTATCCTCCTTACCGTTGTGATTAGTTTGTACAAATGAGTCTTTACCTAAAGAATCCAGAAACTATGGAAACAACTATTGTATGGACCAGATGTTTTTAATTTGTCACTCTATCAAGATTACAATAGCAAGCAGTTTAATTATGCTTAGACCCAGCAGATAATCTGATAGAATAGTAGCTGTTATTTTTGTAGAAGCAATGTGTTTGCAACATAGGCACATTATCTTTAGTCTTGTTCTCTATAGAGGTGAATAGCACCTGGTCACCATCCAATCAGAATGCCTTTCAAAATCTGCGGTTTTTCTCCTCTTCTGCTTAATCTTGAAATGTCTTTTTGTATTCTTGTTTTTAGCCCCTAACTCTAAATTCTAATTTTCAGAACAAACATCTCTGAATCTATTTCTTTCTACAGAATTGTAGCCATCACACCAAATTCCTTTAAACAAAGGATTGAATTAATGTCAAGTGGGAGGAAAGAGTGTTTTGTTTCATTGTGAGTCTGGTTAGGTTATTAGTCTCTTGAAACCAGGTTGAAATATTTTTTTTCTTGGTCTTAAGAGTGCTTTATTTAATATTGTGGATATTGTCTGGAGCTAGAAGGTGGCATTTTCAGACTGAAATTACAAGTGATTTTACAAGGTAAGTACTACAGGTTTTGTCAAAGGATTGAAGAGGAATTCAGCTGGTGAGAGAAGTGTTAATGGGATTTGCCTTGTAAGCCTTTTTACTCTTCTTTCTCTTCACTAAAACTCCAAACCTAAGTGGTAAACGATAATGCTTACATAGTTAAGCTAATGTTTTGCCCAAGACAAGGCCTGACTACACATCTCTTGAGCCTTAGCATTATGTTTTGTTATGTTAATCAGTGTTTATACATACTTAATTGTATTGTTTTCTTAAAAACATATGATTGATTAGGAATTTTAAGTGTTTTTACCCAGGTTAGTACTTAGGGGGTATGGGTCACATAGAAATAGGTATTATCATCATTTACTGTTTTTAAGCTGCAAGCCAAAAAAGTTCTTCACCATAGCAAATTATAAGTCTTCAAATTCCCCAAACTCTTTGCTTTGAATTGGGTTTTGAGGGTTATTTTCAGATTACTTTTATCAACATGGATTGTCATATACAACAGTTTGAATGAGGCTTTTTTTTTTTGCATTAATTTTTGCGCTTGGCTCTTAGGTTAAAAGATAGTCTCTGAAATGTCAAAGCATACTTATGTTTGCTTTTACTGGAAAGTACTGTTTTATGAACGGAAATGTAAGGGTCTGTGCTGTTTTTTGCAAGAGATTTCTTTAAAGCACAGACATGTCAGATGGGTTTTTTTTTTTTTTCCAGAGACTATTCTTAGTCTGGTAGACAATTTGGCTGCAGGAAAAATAAAATAGACCTTCATATGTTGATAAGAGCATTCATTGACCTTCCTGTAACAGGATCAACGAGTTTTTCTTTGCCCCCTTCGCTCCCTTTTTTTTTTTTTAGGATATTGCCTGTTAACTTAATGAGTTCATGCATGTTTCATGTTAAATGGATTCCTGTTGTATCCCCTAGAAACATTTAACAAACTGTGTTGATGATGGGACAAGTTTCTGTTTATTTCTAACTAGGGTCTCCTAACCAAATGTACATAATAATGTTAGCCCAATACTTGGTCTTCTGGTTTTATAAAGTGGCCACTTGAAATTAGCTGCTGAGTTGGAATAAACCTAATAATTTATATATTATCTAGTAGTGGTTTTGTTCTTAGAATATAAGAGAAGTAGTTGGAAAGGGGTAGTGAAATAACAGCAGACAGGTGTCCATATTGAAGACGGTAGTGATAGAGCTTTGGCCTCTGTTCCAGTATCTTCTGCATCTAAGCCCTGTATTCTCTACATGATCTTTAGGAGGCCCTAAGGAAACGTGCTTGGGCATTCTGATTCCACGATTACATTTGTGCTGCCAGCAAACATTTCCCATTACATTTTAGTGATGGATATTAAAAGAAAACCAATTATTGTAGCTCCCTTAAATAGCTGTTTAAAATGTTTTTCTTGGATTAAATAAATTAAACAATAATTGACATTAAACTAGACTGGAAATTATGCTTTTACTTAGAAAAGACATCACAACACTTGCCATGGT